CTGCGGCAGGCAGGATTGAGCCTCACCACCCCACCCAGCTGCACCCCCAGCACCTCCCTGCCCTCCTCGCTTGGGGTGAGGAACCGCGTGGGTGAGGGATAGCGGGACGCCGGAGTGGGGGCTGCGGGGATGGAGGGTAGGCAAGGGCTGTGGATGTACCCTAGAGAGGAGAGACCCCACCTCGGTCCAAGGATGGGGGATTTGGAAGTACGATACCTTGGAAAGACCTGGGCTTGCCTGCCTGCATCGGGACGCCTGAGTGGGGTTTGGTGGGATGGGGATGGGTGGGGAACGGCTGTTCCCTTCTTCTTCCAGAGCGAGAATTTGGGGAGGCACCAGATAAAATAGGTGGGTGTGAAGCAAGCAGGACAAGGTGGTTCTTTGTGTGAAACGGCCTGCTGCAGGGTCCTGGGTGCTAAACCTCCACACGGGCTCCGAGCACCATTAGACAAAACAGCGGCAGAAAAGCACCGGGAGGAGGATGAAGCACAAAGACACTTCCTCCTCCTCAGGAAGAGCCTGTGCTGCGAGGGCTGGGGTCGGGAGCAGGGATGTGCAGAGGATGCTGCCTGGGGGGGGGTTTGGGGGGGCCGGGGGGTCTGGGCAAGTGCAGGGCTGCTCTGCAGGGTGGCTGCGTCCCCGAGGCAGGACTGCTCATCACCTAAGGTCCGGGGACACTCTGCTCATGACCTCTGGCCAGCCTGTCCTTGTGCTTCACCATGGGCACGTCCAGGTGTGCCAGGCTCCTGTGTGTGCACAGCCTGGCACAGGGGCATCTTGGTCACCCACCAAGGGTGCTCCTCAGTGCAAGCTGCAGGTGCAACGGCCATGGCTCGGAGAGGACAGTTTTCCTCCAGAAATGGAACATTTGTGCCTGATTCAGACCCGCAGCAGGTTCTGCCCTGTCCCGGTCTCTCCTTCCCCTGTACCTGCCTGCGCCTGCCAGGGGTGCAGGTCAGAGCAGCATTGTGCCCCCCAATTTCAGCTCACTGTGGGTACACTCTCGCAGGGCACAATGCCCCTAGAGATGGGCAGGGGCTGTGCTGTGAAACCAGACCAGTTTCAAGCAGAGGTGGCAGTGGGGAATAGAGGTGCTGGGATGCATCTGTGTACTGCCAAGCTTCCTCTTCTGGGGGCTGCAGATGAAAGAACCAGGCCAGATGAAGCAAATGAGCAGGTATTCATTGTCAGTGGGGTGTGAATGAGGGCAGGAGGGATGTGGGGACGCTGGACCCAGACCCATTGCAGCATGTGTTGACCTCTGAGCACTCCTACCCCTGTCCCAAGGCGCAGAGGCATCCTCTCCTCCTCTTGCTTTGGGGGCAGGATGGGGAAGGGATGCTGCAAAAGACACACAACCTCCTTACCACATTTTGTGTCTCTAGAGCAGGGAAGACGCAATGGGGTGCATCCAAAACCTGGGTATGGGAGTGGGCAACTTAGCAGAGGTTCAAAGACAGCAGGGCACATCCTGCCCCGCTCCTTCTGCCCTGAGAGGGAGCTTTAACCTCTCTGGGGCTCGGCCTTGCAGGCAGCGGGCAGATCCAGCTGTGGCAGTTCCTGCTGGAGCTGCTCTCGGACCGGGCCAACCTGAACTGCATCGCCTGGGAAGGCACGAATGGGGAGTTCAAGCTGATCGACCCCGACGAGGTGGCACGGCGCTGGGGCGAGCGGAAGAGCAAACCCAACATGAACTACGACAAGCTGAGCCGGGCGCTGCGCTACTACTACGACAAGAACATCATGACCAAGGTCCACGGCAAGCGCTACGCCTACAAGTTCGACTTCCACGGGCTGGCGCAGGCGTGCCAGCCGGCCGGCCCCGCTCACAC